ATCTTAATCTATTAGAATTAAATGAAAAAATGACAATCAATAGGACGCAACGAAGAAAAAGGATTCATGTAGCCAACCCCACTTAGTGGGATAAAGGCTTGTTGTTGTTGTTTAAATAAACATAAAAAATCAAGTAAATATACCAAAAATCAATTATCTTATCACAAATTTATGACTTATATAATACAGAATAAATAATACATGTTAATTATTTAATTCTTCAATTATTTCAAGTTGAAATTAGCCAAATACAATTGTATATGTTTTTTTGTGTTCAGATAGTTTTTTAAATCATGCTCAAAATTTATGTACATGTTCAGCTTGCTTAACGAACAATTCAAACACAAGCTTTTTAACGAGTAAAATAGAAGTTGTTCGAGAACAATGAGCTTTTTTTGACAACCCAAGTCAAGCCTCAATTTCAAAGTTGTGAAATGACCTAATATGTTTGATATTTCGATCGATCATCAATATCAATTGCTTGCAATAATTCAACATAAATCCATCACCTCTTATGAAAAATAAATTAGAAATCACTAAATTATTCTAATTCATCTCCACCATAAACATAATAATATAAGATGCCATTATTTGTTCCTCTCTACTAAAGTTTCACCCCCCATCATTCAATTGTTCTGGTTACTGTGGCCAAAAATTTGTGCACGAAAATTGCTTATACTTTATTTCATTGCCTCCTTCATAGTTTTTGAGATGAATTAACAACTATTATTTTCATGATAAATATCTCATCAATGATGTTTGCATCTTTGCACAAATGTTGGGCAAGCTATTGGTTGGCATCTTCTACATAAATCGCTCGGGTCAATGATGCATTAGTAGTCAATAGAATTCCCTAATATCATCAAGTACTATGATCCACAACAAACTAAAGTTAACCTCATCATCTTCACATAGACAATTACTTGACGATATGGTATGCTGATGTTTTGACATTGAGCATCAAGTCAAAAATCCTCAACAACAACCAATTTCTATTATCATCATCACTTTAGTATGAATGAATGAGCGCCAAGTGGAGACAAGATGGCTTGATAATATGCAACTTAGGCTGCATTTGGTACCCGGGTACCCGGTTATGATCAAACGATTAAATTTAACATGCCTGTAAAGATTCATAAAGCTTATCATAGTTCAAATCCGAGTCTTACTTTATCTCCTGTCTATACAACCACATGGAATTGGATGGAGTAGGTCCTAAGTCCAACATTACTAGCATAATTTAAGAGAATTTCCTATTGCAAAAGGATTTATTGAAGTTAATGCATATTTTCTAGGATAAAATATTTTATTCTATTCACTGTGGCAAATTTAGTTTTAACTGTAGAAGATGTTTTATTCCATGCTATCGCGCAGATTTATCCCTGAATTTCGGCAATCTTTTTCAATTAAATATTAAAATATCCAGATCATGTGCTCCTCTGACTTACGTCAAGTAACATTTTCAAAGTTTATCAACGATTTGAACCACTTTCTGAATTTGAAATAGTCAAATTTCAAGTCAAAAATTGAGGTTTTCTTTATAATTGACAATCCAAAAGCCTGACAATCATATCATCAAGTCTTTTCATATCCAAATTTAAATCTTGATCACCACATGCACATCATATATATATATATATATATATAATGTTTAGATTATAGGTCTAAGTATATGCTCAAAGAACCTTGAACATAAATTAACTTATGACGGGACAGCTCAAGCTAAATAAAACTACCTTGCTCAGCTCAAATAGAATTACAATACTAAACGATGGGAACTAACCAAGTTAACAAGAATAGAGTTATCAGTGTTAATATGCATATGTAGCCAGACATAGTACGTGGACAAAGTTAGTTTCATGATCATGCAAAACATTTCTGCAAACAAAAATATATTTGATGCCACATCCCATGAGAAAATTATAACGTTGCGCCCTTAAAAAAAACCAAATCGTCTTCGTTCTTCAAAGAACATCCCCGAGTCTAATCCCTAAGTGACGATAGCAGCATCAGAGGAAACAAAAGAGCCAAGGAATTTAAGGTTTCAAGAGTTGAGATACAAAATGCACAAGAAATTCATAAAAACAAATTTAGATCAACTTTAAGTATTGTGTGGGATTTAACCATGAAAATTTCATTAATATGCTTGAGCCAAAGAGATTTCCCTGCCACTGATAGTAAATCTAACACAATTCTTTAAATATTGTCATCTACCAACCGTAAAACAGGATATTCATTACTTTCTCCATTCCACCTAATGTAGAGCTGTATTTGGTATATTAAAAAAAATATGCGTTCACTTATTCAATTTGGAAAATTGCATATCGTAGTAGCACCTTTTGACCTCCATCAATATCTGTAAAACTATTCACAGGTGGAGTTATTAAGCAAATCCAACTCAATCAACATATGAACTCAATTGCTGTCGGCGACTATTGTGTACAATAAAATTTCTGATTGTTAAGAGTTTTGCCCCTCTTTCATTTTCTTGCAAACAATAAATGGAAGGAAAATTTTCTCAAATTGATGATAAAGATGGATCCAACAGTGATAGTGCCTTTCAATTGGCTAGTTGACATTCTTTTAAGAAACCAAACATTTCAAAAAAAGGTTGATGATATCGTTGTCATGCTTATTTTGTTTTTTTTTTTTCACTTAGCTTCAATTATTTGCCTTGTATCAGTAAAATGTAAATTGATCATTGAGGTAACAGTTTATTTCATATATATCTCTTATCTAACTCATTATAACTAATATAAACGATCTCTAGTTGTGTTAACTCTAATTGTGAAAAGCATTCTTCTTAAAGTAATTCCAAAAATTCAGGCACTATGAATTTCCTCCTAAAAGTGATTACAGAACAACATACCTCTAGAACACATCAATTTTTCATTATCCTGTCCTCATCCTGGATAAGTAGGTTGAATCTAAAAATTTGGCCAACATCAGAATCACTGGTAAAGAAACATTGAGGGGGTATTTGGGTTCACTTCTGATTTTATTTATTTTTCTTTTTTATTTTTATTTTGTTGTGTTTATATTTTAAAGTAAAACAGAACATGTTTGGTATGGTAAAGCATGTTTAGATGTTTTTTAAAAACATGTTATTATAGACGTTTTGAGCTTTTTAAAAATAAGTTAATTTATTTTTAAAAACAGAATAGGGAAAAAAACATGCAAAGCATAAACTAAATAAACATGCTTTTAATATAAAAGCAAAAACAAAAACAAAAAACAAAAAAATAAAACTGATCCCAAACAAGCCTTGAATGTATGGAACAGTTTCCAATCCATGGGATTATGCTTGCCCATGGTTCAGCAGCAACATTAATGCAAGAGTTTCAAATCTGAATTTTGATGAAAGAATTATAGAAGCCATGGATGAAGAAATTTGTTTATGTGAGGGGATGTCCTGCTTGACATTGCAGTAGATGAAGAGAAGGGGTCACTTGATAATGAAATGACTGTCGATTAGTTGCTATTTAAATAGGAATAAATCTCAAAAATGCATGGCAACAAATGTTATTAAGAAAATGAATGGTTCAGACCTTCCATTTACAGAGTTTTAGGAGATTCAATAACAGTAGAATAGATTATTTTAATTAATTGTGACCAAAAATTACTAGGGTACTTATTATTTAATACATATTTCATAATAATACACATTATGTTCATTCAACCAACTCACATTAGCGTATCAACATTTTTTACCAAATAGCTTGCCTCTTAAAACACTTGAGACAA